AGTTCTAGGATTCCAGTAAGACTACTAAACTATAACTTTTTTTTAAATAATTCTATGATGTATATCGTAAAAGATGGCCAAAATTAAATTTCTGTCTGGTGATATTAACTTATAAAAGCTTTTATATTGTTTTGAAAGCATATTTGTATATTTTGTTATCTAAATAAAACTGAACTGCATGCAGTCGCTGATGATTACTTTTCTTGCAACGGAGTAAAATTCTACTTCCATTGGTATTTTAAAATATAAAGTTTAGAAAAAAGGTTAATTTAGATAAACCTAGAGTAAACCACGAAGTTTCAAAGGATAAAAATAGGCTTTCAAAATATCAAAAAGCAAATACATTATTGCAGAATTACTTCCCCGCCGCGGAATCTTGATCATAATCCAGTCGTAATTTCTTTTCATTTTGATATTTCGAAAAAAATGTTCCCACCATTTGAAACTTCTCGGTTTTCTCTATGTTTATCTCAATTCACTATTTCTCTAAACCTTAAATTTAAAATTACATATACACTATAAAAATTCCGAAAAAAATTATGACCTATAGTACCAATACTTTGGGTGCTTCATCCGCAAAATCAATCGTACAGTAAAATGTTATACCGAACTTTGCACAGAAATATTTATTCAATTAAAGTGATTCAGTGATATTACTGTAATTATAACTGTAAAAAGAACGGTGTTTCAGATTTTTTATCCCATAACATGTTCCAGTAGAAATAGATTTTACGGTAAAAAGTACCGGCAACCTGAGTGCCGGTACTTTTTATCGTAATTTGATCAGGAATTTCTTACAGTGCCAATTGAAAAATTAAGTATGAAAATTATGTATGAAAATTTTTTTAAGCTTTTTTTTTCTATAATCTTTTACGGTCTTAAACATAAATAAGAAGTCTTTAAGAACGTTTTTGATGCACTTTATGTTGCTATAAGCTTAAGTTCAAAATAAAGTATGTTATGGAGAGTTTGTGTACTAAAGAGATTTGCTAAATTAGATTGTTTAACTAGATTATTTTTATCGAACCCCGCTATATAAAGTTAGATAGCGTAAGGGTTATCTTTGGTCTAGAAATAATGTTTAAAGGAAATGATATGCTGTTTGTCACGTACAGTTGGCTGCACCAACAAAATTAAATTTCATTTCCAAGTAAATTACAAATGAAGTTCTTGGAGATGGAAAGAAATTATGATTTTTTTCTCAAAATCAGCCTAAAAGTTCTTGCTGATACATCGATAGTGACTGACAACATGATTTAGTGGATGACATCACGATTTCCCCCCTCCTAAACTCAAGATTTTAAGTTGATAGAAAATAGTTGCAGTGGCTTCACATTTATTATGCTTTTGATAAAAATACCAAGTTTTAATTCTTTTTCCACCAAGCAGCATAATTATAAAATTATATTTTATTAAATAAATAATTCTAATTCCAAGAAACATAAGTGGTGAGATATCGTTTAAAAACATACAAATTTGAAATAAGAGCCGACATATTTCAAGTGCTTTTTCAAATCACTATAGTTTTTTACTCATTTTCGTCTAACAAGTCTTGAAAATGGGCGCCTACTTTTGAGCAGGTGAAGCATGTCGATTGTTATTTCCAATTTGAAATGAATAAAATTTTTAATCAGCCATATTTTACCACGTTTATATAAACTTGCCTTCGTGTATGTCTGTCCGGGTGGAATTTTGTTATCGATTTTAAACTAACTTCCCGACTAGCTACAAACTTCAAATTTAGCACACAGTTCAGAATTGGATGACAATGCATGAAAATGAAGAGAAAAAAGGCATGCAAAGTAAAATAAAATTAAAATTTAAAAAAAAAATTACTTTCGAGATTGTCTTTTGTTGTCGATTCCATTATTTCAAATTATTACGTGTCAGGTGAAAAGATTTTTGTTGTCGGAGTATTTTTATTGGCTGAAAAATCACGTGGTAGGATCCAGTTTTTCCTCATTCATTTCCAGATTGTTTTGGTTGTCATCAGCATAAAACTAATGAAAGTCGTAAAGGTATTGTTTTTCTATAAAGATTTTTGTATCCCTAATTTAAAATAAAAGTTCTATTACTTTAGTAGTGGTCTTGTAGTAGTCTTGACTACTCTTGACTAAGAAAAATAATCTAAATAAAAATATATATTTTTAAAAACCACGTTTTTTGTAGTGAAGAATAATAATTAAAAAATAATAATTTTTTAAAAATATAAAATAAAAATTAAAAAATAAAAAAATCATAGTTTAAAATAAAAAAATTCAAAATAAAAAGTAATATTTTTAAAAACCACGTTTTAGTAGTGGAGAATAATAATTAAGAAAAAAATTGAAAAACGAAAAACGTGGGGCGCATGAAATACATAACAGTACATATACACATACATATACACATTTTCTTACTCATACACATGCACAGCCACATATACATCCACATACATATGCATATACAAAAGCATATTCCACATCCACATTCAGATACAATTACAATTACTGATATACATACACATATTCTCAAGAGCACTCATACACACACTAATATAACATTACTGTTATGTATTTCATGCACCCCGCGTTTTTCGTTTTTCAATTTTTTTCTTAATTATTATTCTCCACTACTAAAACGTGGTTTTTAAAAATATTACTTTTTATTTTGAATTTATTGTTAAATTTACCAAAAGTCCATATCAAAGCACTAGGGTAAAAATTGCAGAATTTTTCATTGTTCCCATAGATTTATAAACCATACGGTACATTTTACCATATTCTGGTAGTTTTGATCATTTTTTTTTCTCAGTGCATGAATTCGATTGTTACAGGTTTTGATTTATGTTACAGTGATTAAAGACAAATTATTAGAGGGGGTAATTATTATCAGTATTAAATTAAGTTTTTTTTAAAGTTAAATTGAAAAGTATTTAATTTTCAGGAATGATTCTAAAATTTCATTTTTGGTAGGTAAATTTTTAAAAGTGTGAATATTGAACAAATTAAAAAATATTAAGTTAAGTATTGTAAAACTAAAAAATATATGCGTGAAATGTATGTAGGATTCACTAAATCTACATTTTTCGTAATTTTAATGAACAAATAAGCATATTTTTTAACATTCAATCCATTTTCTTGGTCAGCTTATTAAGATTTCGGAATATGTATGTGATTCATAAGCCGAAGTCATTCATAGGGAAGGTTTTTATGTAGATTCTGGTAAACTAAAACGTCATACTTCATCGGTTTTCGTCCAAGGCTGTCCAGTCAGTATACTCCATCTAGATCTACTAGATGCTATATTTCTCCACCTGTTAACACTCAAGTCCCTTAACCACTTTTCTACTCTATCTAACCATCTTGTTTTAGGTCTTCCTCTTTTTCTTTTTCCCTCTGATGTTCGAAAGATTATTTTATTAATAGGATTTTCACCTCTATATCTAAATACATTTTCTTACCATCTTGTTTGAAAAATCTTGATCGTATTTACTATGTTAGGTTCTTATAATTTTGATTGTAATTCATGGTTTTAACTAATTCTTCAGGTTCTGTTCATTTCATATATTCATTTTGCTTTATTTTCTGTCTCAAATTAACGTTTAAAATTAACTTTAGGGCAATTTTGGAAAACTTAATATTTTTTAATCAAACTAAAAAGTAATTAGGAAATATGTGATCGAAATGACAAACTTTTTATCGACAAAAAAATTTTTTTTTTCTTCGGGGGGTTACGGAATATTAGTCATTTTATAAGATTGACTTTTTACTTACATGATCAAAAACCAGTAATTGTAATAGTTATTTTTCTTTAAATTTGAGCAACCTACTATAAGACTAATAAGTGCAACGGAGTATAGCCCTTGCTTACTTCAATTGCAGACAACTAGTGGTGCCCAAAAATAGACAATAATTTTTAACTTATCATCAAATCAGTGGAAATTCTCCTGGTTTAGCAACCACTTAAATGCTATAAATTTTGACCCGATACATAACTTGACTCCATATGTGTTTTAGCTATTTAATTACGTGGTGATCAGAAATACTCCATGATAAAAATTTATATACCATTTTAGTAATTTTGAAAGGATTCAACGAAATAATGATTTTTGTCACAAATAAATGATTTTCGTCACATATTAGTTGTAAAACAATTTTGTTTCCACTTTGTATTTTTTTCAAAGCAGAATTGGTTGAAAAGAAAATTATTTAAAAATTATATATTTCGGATCATTTATATTATTATAGTTATTTGTTACAAATTGGTAAAAAAAGTATGAAACTAATCAAAATTTAAAAAAATACCATATCGAATTTCATAATCAAAAAGTGGCATGCATAAATAATTATATAAACAGTTTTTGCCAATTATATAATTCTAAGTAAAAAATTTCTTTAAAATTATCTAAAAACACTGTTAGTTATTATATCAAGTAACCTGAATCTGTGTATTTGAAATTTTGTTGCAAATTTTAATAATTAAAATTTTATGTTATGAATTAAAATTTAAAGCAAAATTTCTATTCATAAACTATTTCTATTTATGTTCGATTTAGAAACTACCAAAGGTTTAGCATTGTTAAAATCTGTATTGAAAAATCGTTATTTATAAATTACCGATTGCCTATAATAATATTATATACTATGATTACCTACTAATATATGTTATAATAGTAAATATTATGTAATAAATAATGTTTAATAAATATTATATGATAGATATTGTAAAATAAATATGATATAATAAATATTACATAATAAATATTATTTAATAAATATTATGTAATAAATATTATGTAATAAATATTATATAATAAATATTATATAATAAATATTATGCATCGAAATACTTATTTTTAAAATAGGATAAAATGCGTAAGAGTAAAAATAGTTATTTCCAATAGCTAATTTTTAACCAAATAATGATTCATATCCTTACAATCTTATCTTAGGTAATGGAGTAAACTTGTCCGGGGAATCGTGCGATTGTGAATATAATTCTATTTGGTCAGTTTTTATCTCATTTGTAAAAGGGACTGATAAAGTTTCACTGTGGTAAAATTTAGTTACTACCCCAGTCTGTTCCCAAAACTTATCGGCAAGAGCTTCTGAAAATGGGCTATTCTCGAGGAAAAGGCGTGTTTTTAGGCCTCATAGGAGGCTTTCTACTAATTTTGTCTCTGATTGTTTTAATAGCTTTTCCAGCAATCTATAGAACCCAACTGGCGAAGCAAACCACCTTAGTAAAAAATACCGTGCTTTACGATATGTGGAAAGATTTACCTTTACCTATCTACCAGAAGCTTTACTTTTATAACATTACTAATCACGATAAATTTGTTAAATATGGCTGGCCACTAGAGGTAGAACAAGTTGGACCTTATACCTACAAAAGCAAATGGGTTAAAGAAGATCTGGAATGGCAGAACGGAACTGTATCTTACAAGGAACGTAAATCATTCTATTTTGATCCAGAACATTCAGAAGGAACTGAAAACGACACTATTTACACTCTCAATGGTCCACTAATATTTGCCAGCTCCTTTCTTCAGGACAAGGGAAAGTATACTCAAGAAGCTGCAGATTATGCTTTTAGAGTTTTTTTCCAAGAGCAACTGGTGATTAAAAAGGCTATACATGAGATTGCTTTTGGAGGTTATAAAGATTCGATATTGTGGTGGGGGAAACTATTTCAGAAAATGCCTTTCGAAAAGGGAATTTTTTCTTGGTTGTATAAAAGGAACGATACAGACGATGGGGAATTCACTGTTTATACTGGTCAATATAATCATTCGAAACTGAATTTCATCAAGACCTGGAACGGATCTTCTGAACTATCATACTGGGAGGAAGGCAGCAAGTGCAACAAGATCGAAGGCACCAATGCAGAAGTTGGACCACCAGTTAGAGAAAATCAGACTACTTACACTTTTTTCCAACCGATATTTTGCCGGTCCATGACATTCGATTATGTAGGAAGTCGACATCACAGGGGTATCGAATCCAAGAGATTCAAAAACTCTGCAAAGGTGTTTGCAAATGCAAAGGACAATCCAGATAATTACTGCTTTGACGAAAGTTACAAACTAAACCAGACATCATCGCCTATTCCTTCTGGCGTATTCAATATAAGTTCTTGTCAATTTAATGCACCAGTGTTGCTCTCATTCCCTCATTTCTATTTAGCTGATGATTCCTATTTGGACAAGGTTAATGGACTCAATCCTAATGCCTCTTTGCACGAGTCTTACATAGATGTTGAGCCGGTAACAGGAGCTTCAGTTTCTCTAGCCATGAGATTTCAAGTAAACGCTTATATAAACCAAAACCAGTACCTCAGTCAATTTCATAATGTTACTTCAGGAGTTTATCCCATATTTTGGATGGAAATGCTAGCTGAAATTGATGATGATATGGCGAAATCTATGCATTTTCAACTAAAGGAGTTGAAGCAACTTGCTTATTCAATTCTTGGTGCATTGATAGTGATAGCCAGCTTCGTGTTCGTATTTGGACTGTATATAATACACTGCCAAAATGAGGTCGATGCTGAAGAGACGAAGTCACTTTTAGAAAAGGGCAGACAGAATTCTTATTCATCAACTTATTGTCGTGACAATTTTAATTCATCGGACGGCACTTTTGAAATTCCAAGAGGAGCAACAACAAATAGTACATCAATCATCAGTTCAGGCGAAAAACGTGTTAAAGATCTCTATCAAGTCTTACCAGACAATGCTAGAGAAATATTAAAAATGAGTCCCGAGAAACCTGACACAACGAGTACTGCTGATCCGAAAAAGACGGAAACAATTCACACTTATCTCGACAGAGCTGTCGTTCCTTAAGCTATCAGTTATTCAAAAGGTAAGCATTAACTATTTATTAAATTTTCTAATGATTAATTGAATATTATGCATAGATCACATATTAACTCTTAACGGACATTCATTCATTTAGATCAACGTTTCCCAATCTTTTTTGGCTATGAAATCCTAAACGATCGACCGTCTTTCGGCGAAACTCCATTCTTTTTAAATAAAGTATATAAAAACATTTATAATCACTAAAAGACTACTTTATTTTTACTAATAACGGGAACAATTTTTTTATTATCGTTTTATCATTAACAATCTTAAATTAGGTTTTCAGATCCAACAATTGAATTTGCATACCTAGACCTGTTTCTAGTTTTGTTGAGAATATATTTCTGGTGTATAAGCTGAAAATGAAACAAATAAGCTAACTTATGGTTTTCGTTGAAATGAAAGTTAAAAAGAAATGCTTATAAATGTTTAAAATGGTTCCCAAGGAAATATCTTTCTCTATTAAGTAACTTAGTTATTTCAATTTGATTTAAAAAGCGCGAAGGAAAATACTAATGCAATTTTCATATACGTACGTCTTATTCTTAATTTATTCTAGATATTGTTATTAGAAAAAAATAAATAAATAAATTTGAAAAAAATTCATTTAAAAAAAATAAATTTGCTAATTCTTCTTTCATAGGCATTTTGCTTCAAATAATTTCGTAAAGATAATTAAGCGATTAAATAAATGATGGAATATTAATTGGAATTTAAATGCAGGTTTTAAAAATCATTGCTAGCTTAAAAAAAGTTCTGACAGGTGGAATTTTTTAAACTCTTCCGCAGAACCCTAGGGTTTCAGAGCATTTGGAAACCTCTGACTTAGGGTATTGTAACTACATTTTTTAAATTCTCTACGTGGCTGCAAATCTATTGCATGTTCTATAATGACTGCTCTTAATTCATTTTTTTAAAATACTTGTCAAAAATGAAGTCAAAAAATTGCATTACAACATTAATATTTGCATTAGAGGAAATAAAATGCTGTCGAAATCTAGCGAATCACTGTTATGAAAGGTGGGATGAAAACCAATTTGATTGCTTGATCGAACTTGAATGTATTTCTTATAATTTTTTTTGCAATTCTTCTCTATTTTTTCCTACAATCTAACAGGTTTCGTGTTTTCAGTTCTGCCAAACTCAGCAGTGATTCGCTAGATTTTGATAGTGTTTTTGTTTTTTCTCTCTTAACCATGAACTTACGACCACTAATGTGATACTTTTTTGACATAATTTGTTTATTTTTTGACGCATTAGGAAAATATTGATGTCGATCGTTGAAAAACGATTCTCTCGAAACTTAATAGATTGAAATACTTGTCTCACAATTATTATAAAGCGCAACTATATTTTATAAACTGAGATAAAAGATAAGATAAAGCGAGGATTATCGAAGACTTTTTTTATTGATTATTTGCAAATAAAAATAAATTTTTGAGGAATCACACTTTTTATTACTCTAATTGAAGTAATATTAAATGTTATGTTAGAAAATATTATATTCATAGAAATTTTAATGCTAGCCATTTACGGAAATCGCTCTTTTTTCTATTATGTTTATGATTCGACTCACATGAAAGCTCTTTATTTATTAATTTTTTTCGGTTTACAGTTGTCTAAGAAGTAAGAATTTGCTAAAAAGTATAGAAATAGTGTTATCCTGTTTTTTTGAAATGCTAATCATGCGCAATCATATAATGCGCAAGACAGAAATTCAACAATTTTCTTACATATTTATTAAAAAGAAAATAAATTACACGAGGAAATTTTGGTGAATTTTTTGATTGTAATATTTTTTTCTATGACATTGCTTAATTATCCTTATTTTTTCAATATTCATTGCTTTACCTTTTCTTTTTAAAAATAATGTTGACACAAATTTTGCTTCTTATTTGTTTTTTTTTTCCTCTCAATATTTTCTTTATTTTTATTCATTTCTGTTTAAGAAACGTTCTGATAAAAATCCATTTATTTTTTTTTTATTTTTATCTGTCATTATTTCCTTATTTTTATTTATTTTATTTACTTCGGATAATTTTTTTTATCACTCATTGCGAATTATTTTAAGTGTTTGGATAGCTTTTTATTAAAGATAGTTGCTTGAAATTTCTTTATTTATTTTTTATTAGTTACTTTTTATTATCTTTATTTTATTTTTTTATAATCCATTTTTTTTAACAAAGAGATATTTTAAGTTATAGTGTTCATATTTCAAGATTATCTAGGAACTGAAATATACAATACACATTTTTTTGAAGAATTGTTCTTTGATATTCTCGATTGGTTTCATATAATTTGATTTTTATATTTTATTCCTTTACTTTAATTATAATTGTGTCCTTACTTTAATTAGATTTTTAATCCTTTATTTAATTATCTTTATTTTATTTTTTCATTATTTATGGTTTAACTAAAAGGTATTTCATGGTAATCATTGNGGGATAAAATTAATCTTATTATAAATTGTTATGTTTTTTATTTGTATCATGTTATTGGAAAATAAAATTTTTAATTAAAACGAAACAATTTGAATTTGTTTCCAGAATAATAAACCTACAATAATAACTGCTACAACCAAAATAATAATTGCTACAACTAATCTTATCAATACAATTTATGTAATCTTATCGTTATAATCTTACTACTTAATTAAAATCGTTATAATACAATCGTTACAACTATATACAATCGTATCGTTTCAATACAATCGTATATATACAATCGTTTGTATTATAACAATCGTTATAATACAAACCAGGTCTAGAGACCATCTGGTGTATTACCTTCTATTATACTTGCCAAATTATAACCCGACTGTCTTCCCGCAGATTTGTTCCAGATATGCATCGAGCTCACAAGCTCATAACTTTCATACCAATTCATAACTTTTTTTAAAACATTTGATTGTGCAATATTTTATGTTTTGAAGAAATCAAGGAGAGAAAAAAACAGTTTGTTTATCTGAAATATTTAATGCTCTGCTGTTAGGCATGTGAATAAATTTAATGCTCTACATCTACATTACTATAAACTTAAATAAAGTGAGTGTAAATCTGGTTAATTTATTTTAACTAAAAATTGATTTAAAAAGTTTTTTTATGTTTAATTTTTTCATGTATTTGTAATTTGTAATTATAATGTTAATTCGAATTAACTTTTTTAACTCTTGTATATCCGACAACTTATAATTTAAGGAATTCGAAAAAAATATCTGTGCGGTTTTGCGAAGATGAAAAAATAAAATAAATATGAAACATGTAAAGAAGCATGTTTAATCAAATACGATTAAATATAATCCTCTTCTTCTAGATTACCAAAAAAATAATAACTATAATTATCCATTCTAACCAGCTTAATTTTAATATTTAAGCTGATTGTTTTCAGTTTATTTATCTTAAAAGTTTTATTATGTTTTGCTGAGTAAAAATAATATATTAGTTAACGTAACGATTTACTTTAATGTCAATTGCCGTTAATTTTTATCTAAGTATACAAATCAAGTGCATGTTACTAATTGTAAATTAGTATTTTGTTTTCATTAGCACAACCCAATCTGCTCTACTGCTTGAACAGGTTGATACAACCCAAAGCCTTTTTTAAATTAACTTTAAACTGAATAATTTTCAGAGACAAAAAAAATCTATAAAGACATATAAAAACTAATAATCTACAAATTAAATTTTTTTCCCTATAAAATGAAATAAATTGTGAAACTAGAAACTGAAACTATAATTATGTATTAAAACTGAGCTGAGGAGCACCACTTTAGCTACTTATGGAACAAATTATAAAAATAAATATAATCTATAATTTGGTTCGAATTATGCCGATCTGTGATCATTTAGAAAATCGTACTTTATCAGTGTTTTTTTTCCAAGCATTAAGAAAAAAACTTTCATATTTAATTATTATCTAGTACTTTTATTCATTGATTTATTTTATAAGAAGATGTTGAAATTGTTTATTTTTTTAGTCAATAAATAAAAATATAAAGGGTGTTCTCTTTCATTTTCATTTTAACTATCGCATGTTTTTAACTGCTATTTTATTTTAATTTATGACTGCAGTAAAGAAAATGTAATAGGCGAGAGAAAACTATGCACAAAACATATCTTATCAATTTAACGGGTGATTTTTTTAAACTTTTATTGTTATCTTTTCTCCTCGTGATTCATAATCGCCACTTTTACAGCAGATAATAGTCATAACCAAAGCAAAACATGAAATATTCTTTTCGTGAACTGCCTGATCGGGTGAAGGATAAAAAAAAATGGCTAAAAAGTGCATGTCACCTAAAGCTGCTAAATGGATGATAGGAATTGCTTCTGTCTTCTTTGTTCTCTCGATTGCAATCTTGAGTATTTTTCCTACAATTTACAAGCAGATGCTGGCAAAAACTGTAGCACTATCTGATGGTTCTTTAGGAGCAAAGACATGGGAAGACATTCCACTTCCTATTAATGAGAATATTTATTTCTTCAATATCACAAATGGCGACGCTTTCTTAAACAAAGACGAACCTTTAAACGTCACTGAAGTTGGCCCCTACGTTTATAAGGGTAAATGGATTAAGCACAATCCTAAATGGCATCCTAATGGCACCGTTTCCTTCCGGGAAACTAGGGTATGGCACTTCCAGCCAGAAATGTCTGCAGGAAGTCTAGATGATGTCATCACTACTTTGAATGGCCCCATGATCATTGGTGCCCATATGCTGAAGGACTGGAACATTTTCTGGAGAATATTCTATTCCATTGCTATGAAATTCGAATCGGAAAGCGTGATAATTCAAAGAAAGGTACGAGAACTTACATATGAAGGCTATGAAGATCCCATCATCAAGTATGCTCCAGTGCTGAAGCCCAACATCCCATTTAAAGATGGGATATTTATGTGGCTTTATGATAAAAATGATACCGATGATGGCGAATTTACAGTCTTCACTGGTGTGGATGACGCATCGCGTACGAATGTCATCACATCCTGGAATGGGAATGAAAAATTAAACTTTTGGAAAGGGGGCAGCTGCAATGATATCAATGGTACCAACGTTGAGATGGGTCCACCTTTGCCTGATACACCAGAGTCTTATACGTTTTTCCAATCCATCTTCTGCAGATCAATCACTTACGATTATATTGGTGACACCAGCTCATGGGGAGTGCCTTTGAAAAGATTCGAACCAACTGCAATGGTGTTTGGCAATAGTACAGAAAATCCTGATAACGCTTGCTACGAAGTCAACGGAGAGCGTGCATCTGGTGTCTTAGATGTTGGTCCATGCCAGTTTGATGCACCAGCCTTACTTTCATATCCCCATTTTCACATGGCTGATCCCTCTTACGTGAAAGCTATTAACGGTTTGAGCCCGAAATTAGACGCTCATGGCTCTTATCTGGAAGTCGAACCAATTTCTGGTTTTACCATGAATATTTCAATTAAATTTCAAATGAATATCCAGATGGAACGAGTGCGAGGTGTGCTGCAGTTCGACAATGTGCCTGAAGGAATATTTCCTGTCTTTTGGGTTGATATTAATATTCATTTAAGCGAAGATTGGGCAGACTTTTTTAAAGGTCAGTTAAACAACCCCAAGTATATCGTTTACAGCGTTTGTGGCTTTTTGCTTTTAGCATCATTGGTTCTAATAATCTGTGGTGCCGTTATTATTACTCGCTCTCAGAAGGACGATGAAGATCCTCTTTTGAATATCCAGGAAGAAAAAAAGGAAGAACTGGAAAAAAGGAAGAATACCAGTGAAATATCCTCAAGTTATGGTGGTATGGCAGGTGATCAGGGGGAACAGTATGATGGGGACTCTTTAAAGCAAACAGATTCACATGCAGCAAGGTGATTGCTTTATCGATGAAGATAGAATTTTAGTATCAGGGCTTTCATATTTGGTAAGTATGTGTTGATTTGTATAATCTTTTGCTGTTTTCATAACCAGAGAGATTTCAATTGGAGCAGAAAGTCGTAGTAAACAAAAAAATCATCAGAAATCGTAGCATTTAAAAAAATCGTACTATTTAAGCCTTTTTTTTTACAAAGTCACAGCAACTTTTCCGATTTCATTTCATTGCATCTGTATTTCTTTCTAATTCGAATACTTCCAATTATTATAAATGTTTTGCCATTTTCTCTCTTATCCAGAAATCTGTAAGAAGTAGATATGTTTTTCAGCTTTTTAAATGCAATTTTTCGAAAAAGTTCAAATTATTTTTTTACTTTGTTTCGACAAGTTAAAGTTATGTAAAGGATATGTAATAAGAAAACAAAAAAATTTTTGCATTCGGTTCATCTAAAAGTTCATAATTTAATATTCACGAAAACAGGAATAAAATAAGTTTAAAAACTTTTAGGGGAAAATAGAGTTCAGTTTCGAATAATAAATTATGGATAATTTAGTTTATTAAGTATCATACATTAGAATAATAATAACAATAGGAAGAAACTAAGAAGTATCTCATTTTAAGCGAACTTAGAACGAAAAAAATAACTTTATTTTTGCCAGTCAGTACTGAACGAAAGTCGTACGGAACATTCTTTTCATAACACATGGGCGGTAAGGAATTTCGCAGGTGATAGAATTTTATCTGCGTTTATAGTCTGACAAAGTCAGCTCAAAAAACATTTAATTTTCAAATCCTTAAAATATTTATTTTTTATGTCTCATTTAGCTTGCTAATGGAAAGTCATAAGACTTTCCCTTGGCTTTTAAATGATCAAATATTTTACTTGCATCATTTAGAAAACAATATCAACTTGCTTTTGCAGCAATCACAGTGCTCCAGCTTAACCTCTTGCTTACGCCTGGTGCAACAAGTGGACCACATGTAATGGTTTAACAAGGAACACCGTAAGCAAAGGGTTATTATAAGCTAAAGTTTAGACAATCTAGTTATTCGGAAACCGGTTGAAATTTTGATTGAAGATAAATTATATTTGTCAAAAAAAATTTCCTGCAGCGATCAGTAATCTATTGTAACTTGAACGCAAAGTTTCAGTTAGAAACTAAAAACTCGGGAAATGGTAAAAATTAATCAGACAATGGTCAAAATTTCGATTGACGGTGAATTTTAATTTGCAATAATGAGACTGTACATTCTGTCTGTAATGGTCAGAGAACCGCTGACAACAACTTCAGTTAAAATTTAATCACTTTTGCTGGTTGAAAAGTGATCATAATTTCACGCAAAAGGAAAAGTACATAGCTTAAATACCTATTTAAATTTTTAATTATTTATTTTAATAATGAAATGAAAATATAATTGTAAAGTAAGCAAAGTTTATTAAAAACTATATAATTTAAACTGAAAAAAAAATCCGAAATTTGAACGTAATCGGTCGAATAGTTTTTGATATGTGAAAATTGAAAAAATACTTCTTAAAATTTTGTTGCTTAGAAACTATACGGCTGATTTCACTTAAATTTTAAATTGGTTTATTAATTAAAAAGAAATTTAGGTTTGTATGTGCTACAATTCTAAAATGTTTTGTCTTTTCATAGATAAAATAATAAAATTCTGATAAACAATTTAAATAAAAATATATTTTTTTGCAAGAAATTGCCTTTGTATCAACAAGTTTTAAAATTGTGTGCAATTTTTCTTATTTTTTCAAATAGCAATTGAGATATGGTGAAATATACACAAAAGGAAAGTAACAAATCAGAGCACAAATTTACGATCATTTTCATGGCCAACTTTTAGGACCATATATCCCAGGTTGTGGCTTACCCCATAACTTTATGGACATGAGTCTAACTCTATTGAGAAATATATAAATTTAACAATGCTAAT